CGGATCCAGACGCGTGTCTGCTCTCTACTGGGCCGACGCGACGTTAGCGAATACGTTCCTAACCATGCAGATTACCAGCAAGGGGAGACGTCGTGGAGCTTCCGATCAAATCTTAGTTTCATCTGGATGCGACGGTACTATTAACGTTTGGCAGGTAAACGCAAACCTGAAGGTATTCGAGAATGTCGTGTGCTATACTTTGAACACGGGAAAGCCTGCTCCAGATATAACCTGCTTTGACTTTATCAAGAGTTTTCCCTTACGAGGGTACGATGAGAGGACCATAGCGGACGTCTTTGCGGTCGGTACTAAATCTGGAAGGCTGTATTTATGTAAAATAAAGGCGCACGAGGAGGGGGAGGTTGATCCGGTGTACCAAATGCTGGAAGGCCATTCCGCCTGTGTGCTGGAGGTCGCGTTCAGTTACCAGAAGCCTGGGACCTTTGTCTCCGTCTCTATGGACTCGGAATTAAGAGTTTATAACATCAATCAACTCGGTCCATTAAAGGTAAAATATTTTGTACTGTAAACATGACATAAGTTTTATAAGGAATAAATTATCCTACTCATATAAAATAGGTATATAATATACACTGTAGAGTCACGCTGTAACTATATTATAATGTAGCTCGAATGGTTCGGCTCGACCGGAGAAGGAGCACGCGATCACAGAACACCAGCGTACAATGTTAGTTTAGTGCTGCTGTGCTTCGTATGCTGAATGCTGATAAGTAGAGAATCTTTTGATGAACAGCGAGGTGTTTCATCTAAACAGTAAAGAGTGATAATACATTTGCAATTTATAACTTAATGGAGGATGAAGATCTTGCCTTTACCATGTTGTGTAAGAAGAAAGGGCATGCGTTTTTTAATCTAAGTAAACGACATTCGAGTTTGTGTTATTGAACAAATATGACTTAATAAAAAAGTAATACAGTACACACAATAGGTTTAGAAGAATTTATGAAGCTTATGTAAAAATTATTACTTATATTGATTTTAGTTCCTATGCCTATCCTATGGTTTTAGGGTTCCGTATTAGTACACAACAAGAAGCCCTTATAGTTCCGCCATGTCCGTCCGCGGTTTTACTCCGAGCCTCTAGGTGCTACAAATCTGTAATTTGGCATAGTAATATAGATATTAATGCCCAAAAAGCTTTTATATTGGGTACTCCCATACATCCCATTTGGGTAAATGGAGGATGATTTTTTTATCCATCTCTTCCATCTTGTGGGGTATCAATGGATAGATCTTTTGAAAACTGGGAGGGAGAAACATTGAAGCCGGTATTTGTTAAGATTCATTAGTCATGTGTCCTCCCCCTCTACCAACTAAACAGCTCCTTTTGGAAACGTGAAAAGTATACAATAGTATAAGTATATAATGAATTTAAAAAAAATATCACAGCTAAGTAGAATCAGCAAGTTAAAGAGTAATTGTTGACCAACTTATAAAATGCATTTGGATTAGTAAAAAATTGTTACAACTCGATAGAAAATGACCTAAAACTAGCTGCATTATAAATTTGTAATGTTATTGTAAACTTTAAGAATGTACATTTTACGAAGAAAACGATTTATATGCTTTACTACTATAATTTAATTTTTTTACTTGCAGGATAGGCAGGGACGATCTTTATTACTCACTTACTACTTTCGCTTATTGTTTAGTTGGTAGTTAATCAAAGTATTTATACAATCATATAGCCTCATACAGTTTCTTTCGCCATACTGTAGTTTACGCTGGACCCTCAGGATAATTTAGGGTAGTGGTAGCTTACGGGAAGGTTCGTTACGATCTTAAATCTTAGGATTGCACTGCTGGGATTGATAGATGTCAACTGTGTTCAATGTTGTACGCACTTGGCATGTTAATGATTTTGTAAATTGTAGTATTTTCAAAATCGAAAAGTTTATTTTTTATTTTTTTGAATACCAGTCCCTAAAGTTTTTTAAGCGACAGAAGCCTAATGGTACGGCGCGGACCGCGAACTCATAAAGGTCGTGGGTTCGAATCCGCCATTCGACTACTGGCGTGAACCACTCGTAACACAAACAATTTAAGCTTACCACGAGTGGTTAAGGGGAATATTAGTAATGTTTATAGCATTGTTAATATACATATTTAAAAAAAAATTAAAAAAGTCTGATATGAAAATAAGTCCTTCAGCTGTCTTTAATCTATTTGGGCCATTTCCAGTTGTTTATTTCCAATCCATTTAAGTCGTTATAACGATCAAATCGTGAGCTCACTTATTAGCTTATTATCAAGAAAGGCCACGTATTGTGACGGGCAACTACGGGACCCTACATCTACATTGTGCGTGGCCCGACACGCAATTGGCCAGTGTTCAGTTCATAAGATCTCCTGATGGTAAGTGAATGCTGTGGCCCATAGACATCTACATATATCCTCGATTAGGAATCTAAGATAAAAATACAGATACGTTGTTAACGCCTGAGGGCTAAGATAGAATGTCTCTGCAAATACGCATTAAGCTGCTATTTTACGCTGGTATTCTGTGAGAGCGCGGTCTGTCCCCGGTCAAGGCGACCCATTCGTGCTACAACCATAATCAGCTACTGACTTACCTTTTATACCACGTAAAAAAGATAAGTCCAATTTCTACTATAGGTAGGTCAATCACCTGATTCAACTCGGCTGGGCAGCGTTCGGGAGTTTATGAAACATCTTCTCGTTACGTATACCTTAAAACTTGAAAATAAAATTGAATAACCGATATAACCAGTGATGACATACGCATCTGAGCAGTGGTCTTTCACTGCTGGTTGTATGCGAAGAGGGCTATGCTCGGAGTTTTTCTGTCTGATAGACTTAGAAATGAGGATATTCGCAGTAGAACCAGAGTGACCAACATATTCTATGGGATTCGTAAGTTAAAGTGGCAATGGGCCGGCCATATAACTCGAGGAACCGATAACCGATGGGAAAAAAGGTTCTCGAGTGACAAACTGTTACCTGTAATCGAAGTGTAAGGAGATCGCCCACTAGATGGAGTGACTTCCTAGTCCTAGTAAGATATGCAGGAAGTCAGTGGATGCGGGTGGCTCAGAACCGTGTTTGTGGCATGGGGAAGACCTATGTTCAGCAGTGGACTTGTGAAGAGCTTTAATGATGATGATGAATGTGTTTTTAAATGGGGAAGAACTGCTCTGTTGAATCGATTGTGTTTCTTGGCATCACTCTCGACACAAAGCTTCAGTGGGCCCCCCGTATATGAATGAGCTCTGCAGCTTGTGCAGTAAGAAATATTTGTGGCATTGCTTGATGACCAGCAGTGGACTTGCGAAAGCCTATAATAATGATTGATGATGATGAGTTCTTCGAAGTCGGCTTTTGATATTTATTTAAAGTATATCGTTACAGCTAGGTTTGCCACGTCGGTGGACCAAAACATTTGGACAAATTTTGAAAAAGTCGGGATTTTGGGTTTGTTGTCGGGAGAAAAGAATATTAAAAATAAATAGTTTTTTTTATTAAGAGGCTACAATAAGTACTTTCACCAAAACTAAATGTAAAAGTGTACTTACACTTTGTATTTAGACGTGTTTTTTATATAGAATAAATGTGACGAACAAACGAGATAGAATAAACGAGCACGCAGTCTACCCGATGGTAAGTGAATGCGGTGGCCCATAGACACCTACATTTATCCAGGGGTAACAATGCACATGCGTTGTTACCCCTGAGGACTATAGAATGCCTCGCGTCCAGTAAAAAAGGGTCTCCGGATCTCTCCACTCACCATACGAAACACAGCAGCATTAAGCTGCTATTTTACGCTGGTATTCTGTGAGAGCGTGGTCCTGCCCCGGTCGAGCCGACCCATTCGTGCTGCAACCATAATGTAGCTGCAGCGTGGCAGTTCTGTACAGCACATTGTTTCGATCAATATCTCCAATAATATAAAAATAAACATTCTCCTGGGTTCAAGCATTTATCATATCAGTGAATAACTTTCTATGATATAGTATAGCTGTGCAGATGACTCTTCGGACACTGGTGGACCAGATAATTTTTGTGCAATGGGTGATGGTCATATAGAGATCACAGGGTTTTTTCAGGAATAGGCAAACAGAATAAAAACATAGTATTGTTATTTTTATATCCTTATATTCTACCAATCTCAACACTCAAAAGAAAAAAAATCTCCTGGCCTGGTTAAGGGTAAGCAAAACAATACAACACGTGTGGCAGTGGGCGACGTCAGCGGTGAACTGAATTGTGTGACGTCACCGGCACGCAACGCATTTTTTGCTCATAAATGCCGGCGTTCCGTGGGGGTGACGCGGATAGTGGACGCAGCGCCATGTGAAATCATACAAAGCAAACTAAAATCCGTTGCGTGCCGTGCGTGCGACGCGTCGGGCGCGGGCCAGTGGACGCATAACTTTAAAGTCCACTGCTAAACATAGGCCTCCCGCATATATTGCCTCATCGGGGCATATTTGCCATAGTTGCCACGTTTGGCAAACGGGTTGGCAGCCGCAGGAAGTCGTTGCTGCCCATTTCCTGATTTGTTTCCCTCTGTCGCCTCTCACGACATCCGCGGGATGATACGGGGTAGTGGGTATTCTTACGCCGCCACTCCACGGTACATTTAACACGTTCACTATGCAAGGCGAAATACTAATTTGACCCTATAAGTGCAATTATGTTTTGTTTATAAATGAACTTATTATAATAGAAATAAATAAAAAAACAAAGTAATAATTTTATTTTAATTTTTTTAATAACATTTGAGGAGTTTTCTCCATGCCCCATATATGGGTCACGCATATCAGAACTATAAATTTGATGCCCCATATGTGTGTCACACACAAACTAATTGTTGAAATGTATGCACAAATATTTTACCTGTGTGACAACTGACAAGTCATCTGTCAAAATCAGTTTGCCGCGACAATCTGCCGAGTAAACTGATCATTGGAAAGTTTTAAAGTTGTATCTGAGTTTTGTGCAATTTCGTTTTCGTTATGACTCGAGAACGTATTACTGATGCAGAATTATGTAAAGTATTGCAAGAAAGTGATTGTGAAGATCTTGTGGAGGAATTGGAAGAGTCTGGATTGTATGGTGAGTCGAGCGTAGTAGCATTAAATGATGATGAAACCATAGAGAACATCCCGGAATTCATACATATAAATAATTCTGAGCAAATTGGAGCAAGGCAGACTGATGTTTCGTACCTACAATCCACAAAAAAGTAATAAATATGTGATAAAAATATATAAATCGTGCACCGAATCCGGATTTACTTGGAGTTACAAAATATATTCCGAAGAAGGCAGAGTTACACAAGGACTTGACAAACCAGGCTCGATAGTCGTTACTTTGGCTCAAGGTTTATTGAATGAAGGTCGACTATTAGTTACTGATAACTACTATTCAAGCCTTCCAATGGCTAGATAGTTGAAAGAATACAAGACGGATTTTAGGAGAGATTTTCCGCAGAAAGTGGTCAGCGCTTCCCTCAAAAAAGGAGAAATTGCTGCTTAGCAGAAAAGTTTCGCAACGGTCTTGAAGTGGAAGGACTAGAAAGATGTGTTGCTTATGTTAACATACACGATCATTAAATGGGGATGTCTACCGGTCACAAACTAACACTAAAACCAAAAATATAACCGTGGCAAGAAGGGTATTGATTTAGCAAACCAGCTTTCGAGCTACAATTCTGCTGTCCGCAAGACATGCTTCTGGTATAAAAAAATAGCCGGCGATCTGATATTAATATCTGTTATATATGCAGTTTTGGTATATAAAGATTTAAAGCCAACAGAACGTAAAAAAATGACTTTATTACGTGACCATGAAATAATCATAAAGTTTTTACTGAATATCAGAGACGCTGCGCCTTCTAGAAGGCCTGAAATCGGGTGTGCTGCTTCTAAGACTTTTGTGTTTCGTCAGTCTTTAACAAAAATCCCGCGTACTGTATCGAAAAAAATAATTCGAAAGCGTTGTACAGGCTGTTACAGAAGTTTAGTGGAAGAAGGCAATACTGCCGCTCAAGCCCGAAAAAATCCAAAATAAAAAACGGATTTGGAATGCAAAAATGTAAAAAAGCTTTTTGTCTGGTTTCTTATAATAAATGCCATTAATATTTAGTGCTGATAAATAAAAGATTTTTTGTTAATAAATAAATAAATAATTGTCTAATTGTCACTTTTTGTGTTTAATTTTGAATAACATATTCTAGCAACACCAATATAAAATGTTACTGGTACTATATGGTAAATAATACTTATATTTATTGTTCACACGTGTATGCCAGTAAAAAAAAAACAAAATTCATATGTGCGCAGTATTACACGCCATAGAATTTATTTGAACTCATGCCCCACATATGTGCCACACACGTAGGAACTTACCCTCGTGGTGCCCCATATGTGGGGCACACAGTGAACGTGTTAAAGTATAATTTTGATTAATTAATAATAATAATAATAATAATAATGTCCTCCAGACCGAATTTCGGCCACGGCGACCTGCCTCAACGGAGGCCAGCCATCGGCGCAGGACAGGATTATAGTGCCTAAGTGTATGCGCAAGCACAGGTGCACTCTATTCCCTCACTCTCATAATCCGATGGGACGGTAAATCGACACGAACGCAGAAAGAGATCAGGCGCAGGACCATAGGCTTTACGTGCTTTCCGAGGTACGGAGGTGAGATACCGCCAACTTCCTACTACTTAGCTTAGCTACTGAGAATTTCTTGACGGAAAAACTCAGTAATTGATTTTTTGGCCTGACCCGGGATTCGAACCCAGGACCTCACGATCAGTAGTCTCACTACTACAACCACTAGACCAACGAGGTAGCCATCATCATTATCATCATTACAGCCCTTCACAAGTCCACTGCTGAACATAGGCCTCCCCCAAGTAATGCCACAAAGCACGGTCCTGAGCCACCTGCATCCATCGACTTCCTGCATATCTTACCAGGTCGTCACTCCATCTAGTGGGGGGTCGCCCTACACTACGCCTACCGGTACGAGGCTGCCACTCGAGAACCTTTCTTCCGGTTATCGGTTCTTCGAACTATATGGCCGGCCTATTGCCACTTCAGCTTACTAATCCGTTGGGCTATGTCGGTCACTCTGGTTTTACTGTATAAAGTTTCATCAAAAGATATTGTAAAATATTTTAAGACTATTGATATTAAGAGAACCGCCGATCTGTGGGGGATTTCTGTTAAAGTTATTGCGTCTATAATAGATACAATCGCACCTCAACTATCTATTATTTTTAATAGTAGTATCAAATCTGGTGTGTTTCCTGATTTAATGAAGCATAGTAAAGTAATACCTTTATTTAAATCTGGTAGTACATTGGACCCCGCTAATTTTAGACCTATTTCTGTACTGCCAACACTTAGTAAAATTTTTTGAAAAAATTATTCTTGATCAATTGTTAATTTTTTTTAATGTAAATAAATTACTTCATAAAAATCAATTTGGTTTCACAAGGGGTCGCTCGACAACTGATGCTGGTGTTGAGCTGATTAAACATATATTTAATGCATGGGAGAATTCACAGGATGCTTTGGGTTTGTTCTGTGACCTATCCAAGGCCTTTGATTGTGTTCACCATGAAACATTAATCAGGAAACTTCAACACTACGGTGTAAGAAATGATGCTCTTAAATTAATTATTTCATATTTAAGTGACAGAACACAAAAAGTTGTTATTAATAGTATGAGTTCTTCGAGGTCGTAATTGTACAAATGGGCGTGCCTCAGGGCTCAATTCTTGGCCCCTTTCTGTTTCTTGTATATATTAATGACTTACCTTACATAGTAGGGGATAACCATGATATAGTATTATTTGATGATGATACTTCATTAATTTTCAAATTAAAACGACAGTTATTAAATTACGACGAAGTAAATAATGCTATAGCTAAGTTAGTCAATTGGTTTAATGTAAATAATTTGCATTTGAATGGAACTAAAACTAAATGTATGAAATTCGTAACTCCAAATGTTAAATATGTCAATACTAATGTAATTTTAAATGGGGAGGAACTGAGTCTTGTTGATACCACCATTTTTCTTGGAATCACACTGGACGCAAAGCTTCAATGGCTCCCCCATATATCAAAACTAGCTAGCAGACTTAGTTCTGCAGCATATGCTGTAAAAAAAGATTAGAACTCTTACCAGTGTTGAAACAGCTAGAATAGACTATTTCCATAGCATTATGTCTATGGTATTTTGCTATGAGGACACGCGACTGACACTGAAATTATATTTATTTTACAGAAGAGGGCCATTAGAGCAATATATAATTTAAAACCAAAAGAGTCACTGAGACAAAAATTTAAAGAAATTAATATATTAACTCTGGCCTCTCAATACATTTATGAAAATGTAATGTACGTACACAAAAATAAAAGTAGTTTTGCGAAAATAAGTGATATTCATTCTGTAAATACTAGGAACAGACACAAGCTGGTAGTACCAGTTACTCGACTCCAACGAGTCAGTAATTCATTCTTGGGGCGATGTATACGCTTTTACAACAAAATCCCAGAAAATATACAAAATTTGTCATACACAAAGTTCAAAAATGTTATTAAACTAAGTTTGTATAAAAAGGGTTATTATAATATTAAGGAATTTATAGATGATAATAACCCCTGGGAAGGGTGATCGCTACCAAGCTATTTCTAATTTGTCTTGTGTTGTTGATTGTAAACATGATTGTAAGCTATTATTAAAAAAAATAGTCCCGCTGGGTTTCTTGCTGGTTCTTCCCAGGACAGAGGTTTTTTTTTGCGAACCAGTGGTAAATTAAAAAAGTGACTTTCAATAAGTATTTTTATAATCTACATTGAATAAAAAAGTTTCTATTCTATTCTATTCTATTCTACTACGGATATCCTCATTTCTGAGTCTATCACGCAGAGAAACTCCGAGCATAGCCCTATCCATAGGTCGCTGAGCGACTTTGAGCGTCCTCATACGGCCAGCAGTGAAGGACAACGTCTCAGATCCGAAAGTCATCACTGGCAACACGCACTGGTTGTACAATCTAGTTTTTAGAGATTGAGGTATACCTGACGAGAAGATATGTCGTAATTTCCCGAACGCTGCCCAGTCGAGTTGAATCCGTCGATTGACCTCTCGGTCGAAGTTGGACTTACCTAATCGGACTATTTGTCCCAGGTAAACGTACTCGTCAAAAACTTCGTACATAGTGCTCCTAACAACTACCGGCATAGGTGTGACATGCACATTAAACATGATCTTTGTTTTGTCCATGTTCATCTTAAGACCTATTCGTTGGGAGGCACTATTGAGGTCATTGAGCATAGTGCTTAAGTCCTCCAGCGATTCTGCCATAAGGACTATATCGTCGGCAAATCGAAGGTGAGTGATGTACTCGCCATTGATGTTAATACCGTATCCTTTCCAGTCCAGTAGCTTGAAAACGTCTTCCAATGCAGCGGTGAAGAGTTTCGGGGATATAACGTCACCCTGTCTTACACCTCTCTGCAGTTGGATAGGTTTCGAGCTCTGCTTCTGTACTCGAATAGCCATCGTAGCCCTACTGTACAAACACTTCAGCACTTCGATATACCGACAGTCAACTTGGCACCTCTGAAGGGACTGATAGTCCACATATGCCAGGCAAAGTGGCAGATTGTACTCTTCGGTCTTCTGTACAATCTGCCGCAAGGTATGTATGTGGTCTATGGTACTGAAGCCTTTTCGGAAACCGGCTTGTTCGGGAGGCTGGAAGTCGTCGAGTCTGCGTGCGAGACGATTCGTAATGACTCTCGAAAACAGCACGTAGACGCGGCTCAGAAGGGAAATCGGTCTGTAGTTCTTCAAGAGAGCGTTGACGCCTTTCTTAAAGAACAAGACCACCGCACTTCTGCTCCACGCCTCTGGAGTAGTGCCACCATGGAGGACGGAATTGAAGAGCTTCTGAAGGACTTCAAATACCGGTGTTCCACCCGCTTTCAGTAGCTCCACTGTAATTCCATCCTCGCCTGGGGCCCTGCCGTTTTTAAGGTGCTGGAGAGCCATTCTAATCTCGCTTAGACTGACGTCCGGGATATCATCGGAATAGTGTCGGATAAGACTTGCTCTTGGATCGTTACTCACACTTGCGTGTGGCTCTAACGATGATGTGTACAGCTGCCCATAGAACCTCTCAATCTCACTCAAAATCTCAGGTGTCCCGGAAACGATGCTG